AAAATTCTGTTAGATTTCCAGAAAAAATAGAAGTTCTCAAGAATGGCCTTGACCTCGAACATTATGCACATAAGCTATATCAGAAATGTTTTGTCTCAAAATTTGTTTCTTTGACTTAGAAAATCTTTTATTTACCTATATAGTATTTGTCAAAGAAAAAATATTCAATGATACTTGCTGGAAGATGACTTAATTCAGGACCATTTTGATATAGATACAGGGACCACTGTTATGGGATTTTGCAGTGGGGAAAGATGTGAGGTTCAGTTCTGACCACAAGATGGGACAGGTGAGAATTTGTAACCAAGAAGCAGGGCTGAATGACCTAAGAAAATTCTTAGTGAAGACAGGCCAGGATGATGAGACTTCACCGGCGATATGGTGGAGGGTGAGAAACCTGCTCAGATGTTGAGGGTTCTTGCTAAACTGACTTAGCTAAAATAGGATTTTAAAAGGAAGTGCACAGTTTGGCCCAGGAGAAAGGTCAGGAGTGTGACTAAATTTGGTCAAGCAAAGAATTACTGTTGTAACTTAGACTTGAATAAGACATTTAAACAGAGTTTCAGGCATTCTGAATCAGACTTGAGAAATTTACTAAATAGTCCACCAGGAAGTAAGCTTTTCAGGGGGTGGAACTAGATTTATACAGGAGAAAAAATGCTTTATACATAAGTTCCCTCAAAATGTTTAAACCTGACCAACAATCAATACCCTTGGGAATTTTTCATCATAATAACTGTATTTTAGGAGGTTGTCACTAGGTGGTGTGGCACCTCTTGGTTAGGAATTTCTCTTTAGAAATTAATGCCTCAGAATCTTCAAAAACCTTTTGGAGGAAGTCACTTTTTCCTTGTAAACAAGTCTAATTGAGTGGTGTGTGTGTGTGTGTGTGTGTACGTGTGTTTCTGCAGATATGCAGATCTACAGGTAAAAATATGTTCCATTACAGAATGTTGTAGAAAATGTCATTCATATTAAATAATTCTTTTTTTTTTAAGACAGAGTCTCAAGCTGTCACCCTGGGTAGAGTGCTGTGGTGGTGCCTATAGTCCCAGCCTACTCAGGAGCTGGGACCTGGGTAGAGTGCTGTCGCATCACAGCTCACAGCAACCTCAAACTCCTGGTCTTAAGCGATTCTCTTGCCTTAGCCTCCCAAGCAGCTGGGACTACAGGTGCCCGCCATAATGCCTGGCTATTTTTTGGTTGTAGTTGTCATTGTTTGGTAGACCTGGGCTGGATTTAAACCTGCCAGCTCTGGTGTATGTGGCTGGTGCCTTAGCCGCTTGAGCTACAGGTGCTGAGCCCAAATTAAATACTTTCTTTTTGAGACAAGGTCTTGCTTTGTTTCTTGGGCTAGAGTTCATTGGTGTCATTATAGTTCACTGAAACCTCAAACTCTTGGGCTCCAGTTATCTTCCTGCCTCAGCTCCTGGGACTATAGGCACCCACCACTGCACCCAGCCTAAAAAATAAAACAAAACACTTAAAACATGCTTAATAACTCTGACTTCAAGGAATTTTACTGTTTCTAAATTGTATTTACTTAATCCACGGTGTTCACTGCTAATCTTTTCCCTTGGAACCCATAAGTCAAGTAGCATTAACAAAATCTAGCCCGTATTCTTGTTACTGTACTACACATTCTCCCTCACTGACCTGATTGTTACCACTCAAAGAATTGGAACGTACCTTTGATATTACCTGGTGTAATCTTTTAAGTACAAATCTATATGTGCATATTTTTATTTTAGAGATTTAAAAAATAAAACAGACTCAGAGGAAAGATACTTGTTAAGGATGTAATTTTCTGAAGATCCAAGGACCTGGTAATATCCTTAGAGCGTTTGTCAAGATGGTGCCAGTCACAGTAATTCCCCACCTGATTCCCCTTAAGCGTTAACTGGTGACTGTCCTAATAAGGAGACTTGTCCCTCTTCCCCTGAGGTGGATGTGGCTGCACCTTTTCAGTATTTTCCTGGTATCTCTTCAGCCACCATCTCAGGTCTTCCACTGGAAATATATTACTTTCCTCCCCAACTCTGAAAATAACCGTACAGAGATTAGGGCAGTTCTATCTTCTAGTGTCAAATAACCATTCTGACTTGTTTTTTGTTTTTCAAAATGGGAAGAAATTTTTTTAAATTTCAGATTCATATGAGGATACAAACCATTTGGTTACATTATTGCATTTGTTAGGTAAAGTCCAAGTTGTAGTTGTGCCCCCTGCCCAGAAGCTCTTACATTGTGCCTGCTAGGTGAGAGCTCCCCAAACCCCTGCCCTCCTCCCCTCTCCTCCCCCCACACCCCACTTGAATTTGTCTTTCCCCCTCATGTGGGCATGTAGTTGTTCATCTACTGGCTTCATTACCAGTGAGTACATTGGATTCTTGCTTTTCTATTCTTGTGACACTTTAGGAGAATGTTCTTCAACTCCATCCCGGTTAATACGTAAGCTGTAAACTCTCCATTGTTTTCTATGGCTGAATAGCATTCCATGGTATACATATACCACAGTTTATTAATCTATCGTGGGTTGATGGGCACTTGGGTTGATTCCACAACTTGGCAATTGTAAACTAACCAATAACTTTCTAGTGCAAAAGGCCTTATGGTAAAAAGATTTTTTTTTTTTCCTTCTGGGTAGATGCTTAGTAATGGGATTGTGGGATCGAATGGAAGGTCAGCTTTTAGTTCTTTGCAAGTTCTCTGTCAAATGAGGCTATATTAATTAGTTTGCAATCCCACCAACAGTGTCAAGGTGCTCCCTTCTCTCCATAACCAGGCCAGAATCTCAGCTTTGAGACTTTGTGATGTGGGCTATTCTTACTTGAGTTAGGTGATATCTCAAGGTGGTTCTGATTTGCATTTCTCTGATGATCAGGGACGATGAACATTTTTTCATGTGTTTGTTGGCCTTTCATCTGTCTTCTTTGGAGAAGGTTCTGTCTGTGTCTCCTGCCCAGTGATAAATGGGATTGTTTGGTCTTTTTTTGTTGATTAGCATGAGTTCTTTATAGATTCTGGTTATCAACCCTTTGTCAGATTCTTTTTCTTTCTTTTTTTTGTTTTTTGAGACAGAGTCTCACTTTGTCACCCTAGGTAGAGGCCTATGGCATCATAGCTTACAGCAACCTCAAACTTCTGGGCTCAAGCAATTCTCGTGCCTCAGCCTTGTGAGTAGCTGGGACTACCAGTGCTGGCCACAAAGCCATTTTTAGAGGCGGGGTCTTATTCTGGTTCAGGCTGGTCTGGAACCTGTAAGCTCAGGCAATCCACCTGCCTTGGCCTCCCAGAGTGCTAGGACTACAAGCATGAGCCACTGCACCAGACCTCCTTTGTCAGAGTCTTAATATGCAAATATCTTTTCTCATTCTGAAGGCTATCTGTTTGCTTTCACTGGTGTGCCCTTAGCTATACAGAAGCTTTTTAGCTTGATTAGGTTAAAATGGGAAGGAATTTCAAAGTCATCTAACTGAATTCTCTTATTTTAACATCTGAATATTTAGGCTAATAGTTTATCCACAAAGTAAGCAAAATTTGGAAAACATATGACTTTGGAAAATACATAAAGACTTTTTAGGCTCAGTACCTATAGCATAGTGGTTGTAGTGCCTGCCACATAACCAAGGCTGGCAGGTTTGAACCCAGTCCAGGCCAGCTATGGCAACTGCAACAAAAAAATAGCTGGACGTTGTGGTGGGCACCTGTAGTCCCAGCTACTTGGGAGGCTGAGGCGAGAGAATTACTTGAGCCCAAGAATTTGAGGTTGCTGTGAGCTGTGATGACCAAGGCACTCTACCCAGGGTGACACAGTGAGACTCTGTCTCAAAAAAAAAAAACAAAAAACAACAAAAAAAAGACTTTTAGTGTATTCTCTAAAAACAGAGAATCAGCACTGTGTTTTTTTTTTTTTTTGCTGGGGCTGGGTTTGAACCCACCACCTCTGGTATATGGGGCTGACACCCTCCTCCTTTGAGCCACAGGCACTGCCCCACTGTGTTGATTCTTAACTTAGTAGTTCTTAATGAGTTTGAGTCACAATCCCCTTTGAACACGTGGTGATAGCTATGAATCCTCTTTCTAGAAAAATAACATAAGCACAGGTACACACAAAAAATTGCCCACAATTTCAGAAAGTATATCATACTTTGGCCCTTTGAAACTTTTTCACTGATTCTTAGTTGAGAACTTTGTTTCTTTTCTATGATGTCCAGGCTGGCCTTGAACTCCTAGGACCAAATGATCCTCGCACCTGGGACTCCTGAGTAGATGGGATTACAGGCCTGCACTATTGCATCCAGCTTCTTAGTTGAGCACTCTGAATCTAAGTATTCAAATCTAAGACGACTGACACTGTTCTTATACAAAAAGATAAAACTGATGACATCTGTTCACTGTATTTTTTCCCAAGTACTAATGATTTATGTTTTTCTTTCCCTGTGATCAATGACATAATTAAGACTACAGAAGTTTTTTTCTGTATAACTTCCAACTGGTATTGAACATGTAACCTCTGCCATATGAAGAGAATCATGACAGAGTGAACTAACCAATTTAAAAACACAGAGAAGGGCTCGGCGCCTGTGGCTCAAGCGGCTAAGGCGCCAGCCACATGCACCTAAGGTGGCAGGTTCGAATCTAGCTCGGACCCGCCAAACAACAATAATGGCTGCAACCAAAAAAAATAGCCGGGCGTTGTGGCGGGCGCCTGTGGTCCCAGCTACTTGGGAGGTGGAGGCAGGAGAATCGCTTGAGCCCAGGAGTTGGAGGTTGCTGTGAGCTGTGATGCCACGGTTCTCTACCCAAGGCAACAGCTTGAGGCTCTGTCTCAAAAAATAAAATAAAATAAAATAAAAAAATAAAAACACAGAGAGGGGCACTTGTGCACAAGTGTGCAAGCAAGGAAAAAATGCAAAAGGGCAAGGGGGAGCTAGAGAGTGAGAGAAAGGGAGAGGAAGAAAGGGAAGAAAGAAAGAATAAAAGGAAAGAAGACAACCATAAAATACGTAGTGGACTCAAGGAGAGTCTGAGAAGGCAAAATCATGGTTTTAGGTATCTATGAGTTTTAAATTTTTGGCTTTTAAAATCTTCCCCTTTACTTGACAAGTCTTAAAAAAAAATCTTCCACTTTATGCATCTTTCCCTGTTTCAATGATTCACTGCCATTTGGGTTATAGCGGCGTCAGGGAGAAGGTTAAAAATAATATACTAAGAGAAGTGCATACTTTCCTTAGAGAGCTCATGTATGATAAGTCCCTTTACTGTGGGGGAACAATTCTAAGGAAATGAACTATAGTAGGTCCCTAATAATAGCAGCACAATTAGGAAGTGATTTTAGCAGCATAATGATTAAGTGAATCAGCATACATGAAAATTAACTCGTATTCTTAGGTTAAAAACTTCCTTAACATTTTAAACATGATTAAAATAAAATCAACACAACAACAAACAAAATACTTAAAATGCTTTGAGCCTATCTCTTCTCTGAAATACGGCAGTTTAAGAAAAGCAGAAGAGAAATGTTTATATTTACGAATTGATTGTGGTTTCTCGTGTCAGAAATGTCAATCCAAAGCTTCTGGATGGTGCTTTTGAAATTCCTTAATTAATTTCTTCTTTTGTTTCAAAGAGAGGCTGGGGTTACTATTAATCTCTAGTGCCAGCTGGTGAAGATACTGAATTGTCCTTCCCTTTTGTTTCTCAAACTCCTTGTGTGTCAAGGGTTGACAAAATGTGAAGTCTTCAAAAGAAAAAAAAAGCATAATTGAGAAAGCAAGTAAAAAAAGTGACTAAAATGTACTTACTCAAATTGGCCTTATGCTAGACTTATTTTTTTTTTTTAACATGTTACATAATTTTATCTGGACTCATATTTTCTTGGTTCCAGAGTAGTATTACTGTTTCTTTAGAAAGTGCTCTGTACTTTAGCAAAACATCTATGGTCTTATTTTACATACGTTATTTGATCCCCAAAATAAATCTGTCAAATAGGAGACGTAAGAAAATACGATCTCAGTTTTAAGAGAAATACACAAAGAATGTTAGTCACTTGGCTAATAAGTTAAGGCATGTTGAAAATGTGAACAAGGACTTTGGGATTCTATAGCATTCCCTTGTCACAGCTCTGTGAGCTGAGCTGTCTCACCATGTGCAGCCCACAGGACTTCTCCCTGTGCTGATCTACAAATGAAGACCCTTTACCCTTCTTCACACTACACCACAGCAGTGAGAGTTGACTTTGGAGATGCTGAAGGTCATGAACATCTGGTTCTGCCTGTCGTGGCCTTAACTACAATGGCCTTCACCTGAACACACTTGAGGCCAACACCTTCCAGTTATACTGCCTCTGAAAGTTTAAACTCCTATGACCAACTCTTCATTTAGAATTTATATCCTTGAAATAATAATAGCTTATAATGTGTGCTCACCATGTGTCAAGCTTTTGGTGCTTTTTCTCATTAAGTCTTCAGTATCCTAAGATGTAGATGTATAGCTCTTACTATCAGCCGTGCCTTACAATAAAGAAATACAAGCTTGGACCACATGGCTGACAAGTGGCTGAGATAGGATCTGAAGCTGAGGTTGTCCACTCCCTGGGCTTGGGGTCTTGACCATTATGCTACACTACCCTCAGCTCTGCCAACTTCATTTAATCTCTGAACATAAAACCTGGATGTGCCACTTTTTTTTTGTCCATCAGCCTCCTTTCTAGCATTCGTTCTTTCTCATCCTGAGTCCTGTACATATTCAACTAGGGACTCAGGCTCTTTATAAAATTTGATCCTTCCCCTAGGAAAGAAGGGGGCAAGGCAGAGAGAATGAAAAACCAGAAAAAGAGGCTCGGCACCTGTAGCTCAGTGGTTAGGGCGGCAGTCACAAACACTGGGCCTGGTGGCTTAGAACCCGGCCCGGCACCTGCTAAACAACAATGACAACTACAACAAAAAATAGCCAGGCATTGTGGTGGGCACCTGTAGTCCCAGCTACTTGGGAGGCTGAGGCAAGAGATCGCTTGAGCCCAAGCATTTGAGGTTGCTGTGAGCTGTGATGCGACTGCACTCTACTGAGGGCAACATAGTAAGACTCTGTTTCAAAAAATAAAAAACCAGAAAAAGAATCTGAGAGAATCAGAGAAAGAGAGAAGAGGGAGAGCAGGAGGGAAGGAGCAGGCAAGTGGGTAAGAAGGGAAGGAGAGGGGAGAATCAGGAGCAGCAGAGACCACGTTTCCACCTTTATAGAAAGTAATCAAAGGTCTTCCAGAAAGAACGAGTAGAGAACTTGCCCTGGAGATACTGAGAAAGAACCTCACTGTAACCATCTCTCGTGCTTTCTAAGCCCCCTGGGCACAGCAGTCACTTAATGATAGAAGAGGAAGGAGTTGGAATCCATACCTGATATGGCATCTGGATCTTCTCCATGGAGAAGCTTCTTAAGTTTCTTACCAACCAGGTCCAATAAAGTAACTGGTGTCTACATAAAAACAGGTGTTGTCAAATATTTAATGTGAATATTTTCTAGCCAGGATTTCAATATTTTTGACCAATGAATAGGGGAAGGGGACTGAAGATGTGGGGGAATGAGTGGGTGGTAGGAAGCCTCTGAATTATAAACCGGACAAGCTCTTTTTTTTTTTTTTTGAGACAAAATCTCAAGCTGTCACGCTGGGTAGAGTGCTGTGGTGTCACAGCTCACAGCAACCTCAAACTCTTGGGCTTAAGCAATTCCCTTGCCTCAGCCTCCCAAGTAGCTGAAACTACAGAGGCCCGCCACAGTGCCGGGCTATTTTTTGGTGCCGTTGTCATTGTTGTTTAGTTGGCCTGGGCTGGGTTCGAACCTGCCAGCTTTGGTATATGTGGCTGGTGCCGTAACCACGGTGCCATGGGCTCCAAGCCCCAGCTATTTTTTTGTTGCAGTTGTCATTGTTGTTTACCTGGCCTGGGCCAGATTTGATCCCACCAGTGTATGTGGCTGGTGCCGTAACCATTGTGCTACAGGAGCTGAGCCAGTATGCTTTTTTATGACACTGTTAGTTCTGACATTAGAGAGATTAAAAAAAGAAAAAAAATCCATTCTAACTTCTGTAGCATATGTAGGAAAGAGGCAAACTCATTTGCTCAGGGGTGGAGGCAGGCTGAGAAAGAAGAAAGTGAAGAGGGGCAGTGTGGTAAGGAAGAGGAGGAGAGAGTTAACGTCCTAAGTTTCTAGTTGGAATCTGGGGGCCACTTTAGCAGTATTCCAAGGAGAAGCAACCTCCAGTGGCCTAGGGAGCCTTGCCGTGACTTGGGTGCCGCACCAGCCTCTGATCTCATCTCATACCACCCTCCCCTCTATGCAGCACTTCTCTGCTGTTCCTCGGTGCTCAGGCATGCACCTCCCTCTTCCACCTGCCTGTCTTTTGGGAACCATTTTCCCTCTGCCCAATCACTACCCTTGACCCCACAGCCACTTGACTGACTCTTTTTCCCCTTCCAGTTTTGCCCCGATCTCACTTTCCCAAGGAGGGAAAATGGCCACCCTACTTAACACTGTAAGCTCCTACCCAGCCCACCTTAGCGTCCAGGAATCTCTTTAACTTGCTCTTTTCAGTTTTTCTATGACATTTATTACCTTCTATCCAACTCCATGACTTGATCATTTACAGTGTGCACCTTTTATTATCTGTCTTCCTCCACCGGGACATAAGCTCGTTAAGGGTCTGGACCTTTGTGTTTTGTTCGCTGATGTATTCCAAGACTCACAACAGTGTCTGACGGTAATACCACAGTTGAATAAATTAATCAATATATTAATATTTGCAGATCCCCAAACAGTTAAGGCTACTTCCTTATCTTCAGTGGGTCTGAGGAAATAGCATTCCTTTGAACTCTGAACATTCTAGGTTCTTAGTAAATTATTTATTAAGTAAATTATTTGCCTTCTGCTTGATCCCAATAGCTTGTGGTAAATGTGCCCAGGCGAACTGCCAGAGGTACCTTGAAGAGTTCAGTGTGATGCTCCAGTAGAAACCAGGCCAGTTGTTCTGCTTGTACTTTTAATAACAATTTTGTTTGCAAAACTGCTTTGGCAAGAGTTTTCAGGACCACTGTTTTGTTATCATACTGTACACAGAAAGATTAACATTAGCTGAAATGGTTTTTAGAAGAAAAAATAACAGATAATTGTATTAAAATAAAACTGTCACTGTAAACCTTTTCACCTGTTTTTGCAACTTGTAGGCATCAGGCTGTGATGCAACAGCCATAAAAGTAAGTAGCCGTCGTAATTCTTCTCTGACATTGGGCAACAGCAGTCTTAGGTATAGCTGTATGGCTTCAAGCGCTTCTGTTGTTTTCTCATTTTCTGTTATGCGGGTTACAAAGATGACAGAACATGAGATAGAAAATGGAGAGCACAGTATTTACTTAGTAGTCAATTAAAATGCTACATATAATGCGTTTGAAGTTCATTTACACTTAAAATACTTTATTATAAAATGTTGCAAACACATTATCTATATGCTGTGTAACTGTATCCAGCATCACCAAATAGTATTTTTCTTTAAAGACATGGTGCCTTGCTTTGTCCCCTAGGCTGGGGTGCAGTGGCGCAATCCTAGCTCACTGCAGCCACAAAATCCTGGGCTCTCATGATCTTCCTGCTTCAGCCTCCTCAGTACCTGGTACTGTAGGTGCCTGCCACTACACCAAGCTAGTATTTTTGTTTTTAATAGAGATGGGGGTCTTGCTTTGCTCAGGCTGGTCTCAAACTCCTGACTTCAAGCGATCCTCCTGCCTCGGGCTCCCAGAATGCTAGGATTACAGGTGAGAGCCACTGCATATAACTCATTTTTTTTGTTACTAACTTAATACTTCAGTCTTTCCAGGTACCTCTGTTCTCTAATCTTTGTACTATAGCAATATGTTTCTTAGAACATCCCTGTGATGCATTGTACCTTAGATTTATGTCCTAGACTACATTAGTTACATTTGATAGTATAATTTTCATGACAAACAGTAGTCAAGTGAAAAAAGACTTTGACATTATTTAAGAAAGATATTAAAATACTCATAGCCTAGGCAACATAAGGAGATTGCTGTCTCTAGAATAACAAAAAAAGTCAGCTGGGGTGGTGGGATAGTCTGTAGTTCCAGCTCCCCTGCAGGCTGAGGTGGGAAAATAGCTTGAGACAAAGAGATCAAGGCTGTGGTGAGCTATTAATTGTGCCACTGCACCCTAGCCTGGGTGACTAAGCGAGATCTTATCTTAACAACAAAGACAACAACAAAAAAAAACTAATACTCATGATACATAAAATTTTCTACTTTAACTTGTGTATTTTAAAATGTTTCCTTGTACAAAAAAAAGTATACACTTCCTCTTACCTAAAAGTTCAATAACTGCGGCGTGAATATCAGAATACTCATCAGTTAACAGGCAATTTCTCTCTTGATGATAGTATTTTACTATGACATTAAAGAGTATCTTCTTCTGAATGTCGGATCTTGTCTCTTCATTTCTGTTTTGCACTAACTCCTGACTCACTGTAACTATTAGTTGGTCAGGGAAATACTCTAAGCACTCGATGGCTGCATTAAGCCAGTCGTCAATCCTGGAGGGAAAAATGCAAAACCAAACCATGTTAACATTTACCTTGAACTAACGCACTATTTGATAAACATAATTAAATCTAGTGTACCTTTGGCAAAATCTAAAGACGTTATTTTGAACAGGTCACTTCGATACATTTTTCTGGATGAAGGAGTGAATGAGAGGGAAGAGGTTCTTTTCCTTGCCAAATAGCACCGTACCTTTATGTACCTCTATTTTCAAAGGACTGACATATTTTTTAGCCACCTAATTATACATTTCTAATTTTGTTAGATTTCATTCAGAGAAGTTTCATGCCATTAGGGATTCCCCTTCCTTTAACTGCTCCAATAATATAATACCAATGGTTCTGTTATTATTTGAAAGTAAGGTATTAAATATTATATATTTCCCCAAGACAGATAGATGCCCTGTTTACATAACCACCACATATTGTTTCCCTTCTTATCTTTCTACCCCCTATAAGATAAGAAATTAAGGGTCTTGTCCCTCCAGTGACTTCTTTGGAGGCCCTTTAATTTCCTTTTTCTCACATCTGCTGCCCTCCAACCCTCAGATCTTACTGAGATAGGTTAGTATTTATTATAATTTCCCTGAATATGTGTCCTTTCTTTTTGGCTTACCTTTTATTTTACACATTCTCTCACAGTCTTATCACATGATGCACACAGAGTGGGAGGGAAGGAAAATGATCAGTGAGAGAGCAATGACTGAGGTGTATTACCTACCAATGCTCCTTCCCTTCTTCTTTCCCCATCTTGAGGTTTGGTTATTTCTTTGCAGTCTGATTAAAGTCTTTCCTCAAGTATTTTCTTTGGATGGGGCTCCTGAGTATGAATTTCTGCTGATGTTCAAATATCCAATATCTTGCCTACCTGCCTTCTTTCCTTCCTTCTCTTCTGCCTCCCCATGAATGGTATGTCTTGCCTAGCACGTGCCGTTCACTATCTTCTAGATTGCAGTACTGTGGATGAAAACACTAACGGCAGTGTGATTGCTCTTCTCTGACAGATAACCTGCCCATTCTGCCTAGAAGCTCATAAAGGCAGACTGGCCACTGCCAGTTTCCTGCACAAATATTCAAAGACACCCTGTTTCTTTTTTGATGTCCTCGTGCTATCTTTGAGTCAAGGGCAGTAAAGAGTCAGCCCTTTAGGCTTTTAAAATTTTTTTTTGCCTACTGTGAATAAGAAAACTTTGCCATGTGCAAACAGGACCACAGTTGACTAAGGGGGTTCACAGGTCAGTGATTGTTAACCTCTTCCCAGGATCTAAAGCTTCGATCCTTAGCCTGGGAGTCGATGTTCTTTACTCTTGTTTGTCCCACGGGGGAGAGAGGGTTACATCAGTTCTCTCTGCTGGGATCCCAACAGCACTGTAGGTTAGACCCCCATTTCCTAGCAGCTGGTTTATTCAGGAGCGACAACTATCTTGAAGTTGAGAGCAAATGGGAAAGGAGCCTCATTCAAGTTATAGGGTTCTCTGACTTAATTCACAAATGAGGCTGATTTTATGATATGGCTTATCTCATTGGACCACACTTTTTTCTTTCATGTATGTTTCCTCTTCCAGACAGTGGATTCTTACTGGGAAAGAATAAATAAACTTGTAGAATTGTGATGGTTATATTATTTTTAGGTCATGCAAAGAAAATGATGTAACTTTGGATGGCTGCAGGGAGAAGATGATTGACATATAAATGAATTCAAGTGAATGAAAGCACTTGATTTCTAATAATCTCATAGATCATAACCAATGGCTTTCTGAGATTAAATAAAAATTCACAATGATTAATTTTTCCATAGACATGTCAGCTAATAAGATGAATATGTTCTCACATTTTAAAATACCAAAGACAGATACTTAAAAACCTTTTAGTTATAAATTATTTGACAATAAAAGTGGTCACTTACTCAGGTAGACATAAGCTTGGAATAACCTCTCTGTCTAGGCAAGTATTAGAGATAACGAGATCTTCCTCTTTACTTAATTGAAGATTTTGTGTTTTAACTTGAGGCTCCAAAATATTTTCCAAGAATGGAAGGTCAATCAATTGAAAGATACGTAACAATGTTTGTTGTTTCCAAACAGCTTCTGTAGCTTAGAAAGAAAAATACTGTAACTATCAAGACTGACAAATAAAATACACACATTTAACCAATACGATAACATTTTTCCATTTCTAAATACAAAAGAAAAACTATTTTAATAGTAATAAAATGGATTAATACTAGAATAATTTACATTTACATATTATTGTTTTTTTTTTTCAAGGTTGACCTTTAGGGCCAGGTGCTTTGGCTCATGCCTGTAATCCTGGCACTCTGGGAGGCTGAGGTGGGAGGCTCCCTTGAGCTCAGGAGTTTGCTCATCCTGAGCAAAAGCAAGACCCTGTTTCTACTAAAAACAGAAAAATTAGCTGGGGGTGTAGTGGGTGCCTGTAATCTCAACTAGTAGGGAGGATGAGGCAGGAGGACAGCCTGAACCCAGGAGTTTGAGATTGCTGTGGCCTAGACTAATGAAATGGTACTCCAGCCAGGGGCAACAGAGACTCTGTCTCAAAAAAAAAAAAAAAAAAAAAAATTGACCTTTTTAACAGACGTGAGATTATGAACCACATTCATTTTATTTTCTGGTTATACTGATTGTCTAGCTTTAAGGCCAACACTAGGTAAATTCCAAATATAAAAAGCTACCAGTCATGCTTATAAATTATTTTACACATCTGAGAAAAATATGATATTACTAATTAGCTTTCTATTCATAGCAGCAGATAACTGTAATTCGTTGTTTCTCTTTTCTATTTACTCCCAATCAGAAAAGATTCATTGTTTTTATTTATTTATTATTTTTGCAGTTTTTGGCAGGGGCTGGGTTTGAACCCACCACCTCCAGCATATGAGGCTGGCACCTTACTCCTTTGAGCCACAGGCACCGCCCTATTTATTTATTTTTTTTAGAGACAGAGACTCACTTTGTTGCCCATGGTAGAGTGCCGTTGTGTCAGAGCTCACAGCAACCTTCAGCTCTTAGGCTTAGGCGATTCTCTTGCCTTGGCCTCCCGAGTAGCTGGGACTACAAGCGCCCGCCATAATGTCCAGCTATTTTTTTGTTGCAGTTTGGCCAGGGCTGGATTTGAACCCACCACCCTCGGTATATGGGGCCAGTGCCCTACCCACTGAGCCACAGGAGCCACCAGAAAAGATTTATTGTTTTTAAATGAAATTAAAATACAGTATTAGGTTAATCTTAACTTGGATTTCTGGTCCTCCTGTTAATTTTTTCATTACCCTAACCATCAGATCATAATCATCTTTTGTTTTTAATTAAACAAAATTACAAAAGTAACAGCTATAATAATTCTTGTGCAGAGCTCCCAATACAAGTGACCTGTGGACTATGGGCAATAGCCATGATTTGTTTGGTTTTAAAGTACTTTTAAAAAATGGACTTGTATAAAAATAGGAGATTTCATATAAAATATTTTCAAGTTTTTATTTTACAAAAATCATAAAATGTCACAATATGGGGCCTAAATTAATGCCTGACCCAAATCAGCTGATATAAATTAGGGCCGCCCCCTGGGACTGGCACTTCATTTCCAGATCACCCCAAATCCCACCACTCCCCACTGCATCCCAAACTTGAGTGCCAGCTGCCATTTTCATGGTATTGTCTCACTGTTTTTGCGACAATAAAAATTGATTTCCTAGTACTTTTACCTCTGTGTCATTTGGGTGAAGAACAAGATAATCCTGAAAAGGCCATATGTTTCTAGAAAAAAATAACGTTATATGCTTTTTTCCTATGTGTCTGATAATTAAATACGACTGGCTCTCTGATCTGCCCGGCTACCAAGGTATCTGAGTTTGCCTTCTCCAAGTTATTGGCCAAAAAGGAGTTAAATTAACATCTTTCAGTAAACACTTGAGATCATCAGTGGCTTCTAATCAATCAGACCATATTTGTTTAAAAACCCACATTGTGCAGGGCCCTGAATCAGGTGCTAGAAAAAGATATACAACAAATAGTGGGTCTCAAGCAGTCACACCCGGAGTAAGGAGGCAAGGATAGCTACATATGAAAAGAGTAAAGGAAAAGTTTATCAAGTCACCAATTAGATATATTATGAATAAGTAGGAATGTAGGAAGAAGACTCATCTGCACGAGCATTAAGATAGAACATTCATTTATTTCCACAAACATTTACTGAGAACTGTTCATTTTTTATTTTTTAACTTTCTATAAGTGCTCCTTCTCTGGCATATTGAGAATTATTTTGAGCTAGGCACTGTTCTAAGTGCCAGGGACATAGAGGTTACCAAAACAAGCAACCACAACACAAGAACAAGATGCCATGACAGAGGAAATTTTTCTAAAAGTGCTTTTAGAAGAAAAGAAAAAGAAAGCCAGGCCAGTGGATCACACCTGTAATCCTCGCACTCTGGGAGGCCAAGGTGGGTGGCTCACTGGGCTCAGGAGTTTGAGACTAGCCTGAGCAACAGCAAGAGCCTGTGTCTACTAAAAACAGAAAAACTGAGGCAAGAGGATTGCTTGAGCCCAAGAACTTGAGGTTGCTGTTAGATATAAAGCTAGTCAGGAGGGGGACTCTTGTCTTAAAAAAAAAAAAAAAAAAAGAATGGCTTTAGTCTTTTCAACGCTAACACAAGAAGCTAGAAGACAATGTAGAAATGCCTTAAAAAATTATCTGAAAAATTATTTCCAACTTAGAATTCCAACTGTCAATCAAATGTGAGGCCAAAATAAAGGTCTTTTCAGAAATAAAGAGAACTGTATCCCAGATGCCCTTTCTCAGAAAACTACTAGAAACTGTGTGTCACCAAAATCAGGCATAACAAGAAAAAATGAAGGCACAGAAGCTAAGAAATAGGAGATCCCATATAAGAGACAGGCAAAGGTAAACCCCCCCTTGCCCCCCTAAAATGGGGAAGGGAGAGCCTAGGACGACAACTGTGAACAAGCAGAGAGGACAACCAGTCCAGAGTGAAACCAAACAGAAATCTCATGGAGAAGATTTCCCTAAGAAGAAGAAACTGATAAAATACCTGACTATCTCAATAGATGATAATAAATGTCAGGGGGTCTGTAGTTGGAAATGTGCAGGAATGTGTAAACCACACAGAGAACAAAAATATATTTGCTTTAAGGAGAATAAAATGCGGTGAAGAAAAAAGAATCATGGTTTACTATATAGCTCGACTCTGAACAGCCTTTATTGCCAAAATAATGTCAACACAGCTTATTGCTCTAATCCAATTGTATTGAAAAGATGGGGGAATGGGGGAGTGCTTGGAAGATAGATGTGAAGGAAGGAGGCCCAAATACTCATCTTCCCTTGTAGAAGATTAATAGTTGTTTCTGAAACTGAAACATCTTGAAGCAGCAATATAAACATGCCATTTAGACCTATCAGGTGTAAATGACTACGTCTGGCGAGGAGGAAATGGGTGAGAAGGAAAGGGTAGGGAATTTTATTACTTTTATTATTTTTATTTTTTTGCAGTTTTTAGCTGGGGCTGGGTTTGAACCCGCCACCTCTGGTATATAGCACTGGCGCCCTACTCCTTTGAACCACAGGCACTGCCCGGGAATTTTATTTTTTGTAATAAATCTTGTGGGGCTAGTTGAAAGCTCTTCGTTACACATGCATAACAAAGATAAAAATAAAAACGTTTAAAAGTGTACATTAGAGTGCCAGTTCTGCTTCCCTCCTGTCCTTTTTTTTTTAAAAAATGTGATCTTTCTCATGCTATTTCCCCAACTATAAAATTAGAATTTTACTCCCCTTTATGCGTTTACTATGAAATTGTAGATAATAAATATAAAATGCATAACAAATTGCTTAACAAAGAGAAAGGCTCTCTAAGCAGAAATTATTATTTTTTGAGACAGAGTTTTACTCTGTCACCCTGGGTAGAGTACCCTGGCATCATAGCTCATAGCTCACAGCAACCTCAAACTCTTGGGCTTAAGCAATCCTCTTGCCTCAAGTAGCTGGGACTACGGGTGTGAGCACTATGTCCCGTTAGTTTTTCTATTTTTAGTAGAGACTAAAAGGGTCTTTAGGGTGTTGCTCCTACTCAGGCTGGTCTTGAACTCCTGAGCTCAAGCAATCCATTTGCCTTGGCCTCCCAGAGTGCTAGGATTAGAGCTGTGAGCCACAGTACCCAGCCAGTGGAAATTATTATTAATACCTTTACTGATAAATTACATACACTTTTAGTTGGGAATTTCTAGAGATACCCTATGACCTCAAAGGAAAATGAGGGAGAAAGTTTTCCTTTTTTCATTTGTAATAGATAAAAACCTTATTTGGGGGCCCTTCTTCTGCTTTTCCTCTAAATATCAGTCTTCCTCAGAATTCTCTTCCATTTCGTCTTCTCACTCTCCCTGTCTTTGGGAACCTTTTATGTCTCTTCTCAAGCCTATTGTTGATAAACTATGGTCCTCTAGTGTGCAAATCATGCTTTAACCAAATGCAGTAAAGGGCGTAACCATCAGTGAATTGTGTACGTATCCCTCCTAACTGCCCTGACTACAGGGCTCCTCTTTCCACCATTAATGCAATAGAAGGAAAAAAACAGAAGTAGATGAAGTAAAGAGACGTGGTGTAACAGCTTAGCTAGTTTGTTCTAAGAAAGGAAAGGGCCGGGAGATGTTTGGGAGGGATTCCTAGAAATGACAAAGGATCCACTCATAAGCAGATGGTCCTGGATTACAAATAATAACTGGTAGTGACTCTGCATATTTTATCTAGTAGTATAATATATACTCTATTAGCACCTCAGTTAATCTGGTCATGGTCATTATATAAAATAAAGTGGTGTTAGTTCTGGGCTGGACTCAGTGGCTCACACCTGTAATCCTAGCACTCTGAGAGGCCAAGGCGAGTGGATGGCTTGAGCTCAAGAGTTAGAGAGCAGCCTGAGCAAGAGTGAGACCCCCATCTCCAAAAATAGCTGGGCATTGTAGTGAGCACCTGTAGTCCCAGCTTCTTGGGAGACTGAGGCAAGAGAATGGCTTGCACCCAAAAGTTTGAGGTTGCTGTGAGCTATGATGCCAAGGCACTCTACACTGGGTAACACAGACTTGGTCTCAAAAAAAAAAAGTGGCGGAAGTTCTGTGTTGCCTCGCCTGTCTCGCCTGATATAATTGCTATGCAGAAGGAAACCCAGGGAAGGGAAGCAGAGACAGTGCAGCAAAACCACTATTTTTATCAGATCTAAAACATCAGTTCTTAGAAACAGTAAAAATATTAGTGGTTGCCAGGGGTTAGAAAGAAGGGAGGAATGAGTAGCTGAAAACAGAAGATTTTTAGGGCAGTGAAACTATTCTGTATGATACTATGATGATGGATACATTTCTACATTTGTTCAAAGCCACAGAAAGTGCAACACCAGGAGACCCAGGGCAAACTCCCAGCTTTGGGTGATAATGACATGTCACTGTAGGTTCATTGAGTGCCATTAGGGTGCAGGATGTTGAAGGGGTGGGAGGGACTCTTGGTGGAGGCAAGAGGTGAATATACGGAAACTCTACTTCCTGCTCAGTTTTGTTGTGAACTTGAAACTGCCCTTAAGACATCTATTGAAATATATCTAGAAGACCAAAAGTCATTTTGTAACAAAGATATTTGTACCAGAATGTTTACTACAGCCCAATTCATAATTGCTAAGTCATGGAAGAAGCCCAAGCGCCCATCAACTCATGAATGGAGTTATAAATTGTGGTATATGTACACCATGGAATATCATGCAGCCTTAAAAAAAGATGGAGACTTTTATGTTTACATGGATGGAGCTGGAACATATTCTTCCTAGCAAAGTATCTCAAGAATGGAAGATAAAGTATCCAATGTACTCAGCCCTACTGTGAAACCAATATATAAGCACCCACACTTCCATATGAAAGATATAACCCAACTACAGCCCAAGATGAAGGGGAAAGGGGAGGAGGAGGAAAGGGAGGAGGGAGGAGGATAGATGGAGGAAGGGAAATTGGTGGGACCACACCTATGGTGCATTTTACAAGGGTACATGTTAAATCTACTAAGCGTAGAATATAAATGTCTTAACACAATAACTAAGAAAATGCCATGAAGGCTATGTTAATCAGTTTGATGAAAGCATTTCAAATTGTATATAAAACCAGCACACTGTATCACAGTTGCATTAATGTACACAGCTATGATTTAATAAAAAAAAAAAAAGACATCTATTTAAAAAATCAGTTCTTCCTTTAAAAGTTTGCGGAAAAAATAATGAAAAATGAAATTACCTTCTTTTGAAAGCTGGAGATTAGGTTTGTTAACTGTAGTATTTGGAGGTAAAGCTGGATTCCCACTGGGCATATGAATAAATTCCTCAATTCTTTTCTCACTAGTCTCTTGTGCTAGAGGATTTGAAATCATTTCATCTTCTGGTCTGTTAAAAAAATATGTGAATTTTTTTCATTATATAGAGGATCAACATTTCAAATATACATTTTTTTTTTTTTTTTGAGACAGAGTCTCAAGCCATGGCCCTTGGTAGAGTGCCATGGCATCACAGCTCATAGCAATCTCAAACTCTTGGGCTTAAGGGATTCTCTTGCCTCAGCCTCCCAAGCAGCTGGGAGTACAAGTGCCTGCCACAATGACTATCAAATATACATTTTAATTAATTAATTTATATATATATATATATTTTTGAGACAGAGTCTCACTCTGTCACCTTGGGTAGAGTGCATGGCATCATAGCTCTCAGCAACCACAAACTCAAGAGATTTTCTAGCTTCAGTTTTCTACTTTTACTAGAGATGGGTCTCTCTCTTGCTCAGGCTGGTAGAACTCTTGAGCTCAAGCAATCTGCCTGCCTCAGCCTTGGCCTTTCAGAGTGCTAGGATTACAGGGTGAGCCACTGTGCCAGCCCTAAATATACATTTTAATTTATTAAAATTTATTCATATATTCTCTCTTTCCAAACAGGATTTCAGACAGCTTAAAATAAAAGATACAAGTAATATATTTAATAAAATATCACTCAAAGTGGGCAAACTAGAAGTCCAAACAAAGAGAAAGCATATATACTAATTATAAGGTTAATCATTGCTCTGATGGAGTAGGAAATGATTGCTCTGAGTTTCCAGAGGATTTTGGTTTTGATTACATCGGCTAAGTCATTTTTCAAAGTTTTAAAGTGTATCCATTTCCCAGAGGACATAACACTCCTGGGGTAAATCCTGCAAAGTGTGTGTGATACTGTCTTCCACAACAGCTCGAGAGTAAACGCAGGTGTGGTTTAATTTTTACACAGCTATTTGTTTTACTGACTTCTGAGAAAAATGGAAAGTATAACATTCAAATTTAGCTCAAAGACAACAGTTCTTCCAAGGACTAACACAGTATCTTGGTTAACACTAACCTTAAAGATTCCTCTGGTTTTGTTTCATTTATGAAACCATTCTCAGTATCCTTTTTTCTTTTGCAAAAAACATAAGACGATTCATTGTCTAGAAACCTGTAGAGACTACTGTTGGAATCTTCAAACTCTAATTCCTTTTCAGTTTTGAACAGCTTTGCTCCTACTGGTTCGAATACTTTATGATTCATTAGAACTTGGCAAAGACGAACTCCTTTGAGACGGGAGATATCCTTGCTACTTAAGCACGTGCTTTGCATAAGATGACTTAATACCACATCAACAGCATCAGAACCCGTAAAGCAGTCTTTGTATGTTCGTAAACGATGTCTCCTTCTTTTTATTTCCACATGGGTATGAAGGGAGTGAACAATACCATCCCATAACTGAGTAGCTTGAAAACGAACAGAGCATCCTGGGGAAAAAAAAAAACGTTTCTAACAAATTTAGATTACACAAACAAATGTAAGTTTTCCAGTTTTGATAGCATATCTGCTAGTACCTTTCCTAAGTTTCATCTTTCATCTTAGGTAAACTATAACATATTTGTAAAGTTGCACCATATTGGTCTGCCAATAAAAACAGGGTAAACCTAGGCACTTGCTTTACTGATGTGAAGTATATTATTATGTGAACCTATATACCCTTATTACAAGATTAACAACTAGTTATACTTAATCTTCTAGAACAGCATTTCAGGACACAATTAAAGGTATGCAAGTACATTTGAATCTTGATTATTACCAAGTTTCACCTGGGTCTTTGCTTTTTTCTTCTTCGTTGTTGCAGTTTTTGGTTGGGGCTGTGCTGGAACCTCCACCTTTGGCATATGGGGCCAGTGGCCTATTCCTTGAACCACAGTTGCCACCCCCGGGTCTTTGCTTTTCCTTTCTTTTTTCTTTTTTTGGCTTTCTGACCAATGGCAAGCTCTTCATCAAAGAGAGCAAGGCAGGGAACTGAATAAAACTGATCAATTTGTCTTTCATCTGTTCTTGTTAAAAAAAAGTTTGCTGATAAACAATCATTACCTGGAATCAACGAAAATGTCTATTACTTAGAGAATAGTTAAATAAATCATGTATAGCCTTACTCTAGGCGAGCAGGCAGACATTAGAAAGAGTGAAGTAGAGCTATGTTTATAACAGGAGGATCTCATTAAGTAGGGAAAATAAAAAACTATCAAGCTGAACAGAACAATTTTTATACTATGATCCTACTTAAGTTAAAATGAATTCCCAGTTGGCTCAGCGCCCGTAGCACAGTGGTTACAGCACCAGGCACAGGCCCCGAGGCTGTCAGGTTTGAGCCTGGCCCAGCCAGCTAGATGACAATGACAATTGCAACAAAAAAATAGCAGGGCATTGTGGCGGGCGGCCGTAGTCCCCACTATGGGAGGCTGAGGCAAGAGAATCGCTTAAGCCCAAGAGTTTTAGGTTGCTGTGAGCTGTGATGCTACAGCACTCTATTGAGGGCAATATAGTGAGACTTTGTCTCAAAAAGAAAAGAAAGAAAATGAATTCCAGTCTACACACAAATGTGTGTGAATCAATATAAAGATATGGAAGGATAAACTTCAAACTATTAATCTTTGAGATGTAGGACTGATTATACAGGTGGTTGATGAAAAAGGATGTTCATTTTATAGTTTCTAAGTTTTTATAATGTGTATATATAAATTATACTATATATGTGTGCGTATACACATTTTTTTTTTGAAACTGTGCCTCCCTCTGTTGCCCAAGCTAGTAGAATGCAGTGGCTTCATCATAGATTACAGCAACCTCGACTCAAGGGATCCTCTTGCCTCAGCCTCCTGAGTAGCTGGGACTACAGGCATGTACCACCACACCTCATTAATTCGTCTATTTTCAGGAGAAACTAGTCTTGAACTCCTAATCTCAAGCAATCCTACTACCTTCCACCTCCCAGAATTCTAGGATTATGCCATAAATTTCTTTTAAAAAATTAATTGGAGATAGCAAAAACTACTTACATATAATCAATATACCATAAAATTCATCATTTTAAAAGTGTACAATTCAGTGTTTTTAGTATTCACAAAGTTGTGCAACCATTACTATAATCATTTCATCGCCCCTCAAAAGGAATCCACAATTAGCAGTTTGTTTCCCACATTCTAGTAAAATTTTAATTAAAAAGTTTTTAGGCCAAGCGTTGCAGCTCACACTCTGGTATAATGTTAGCACTCTGGGAGGCCAAGTGGGGCGGACTGCTTGAGCTCAGGAGTTTGAGAGCAGCCTGAGCAAGAGTGATGAGAGACCCAGGTCTCTACCAAAAAATAAAAAATAAAAACAGCCAGGAGTTGTGTGGGCGGGCGCCCGTAGTCCCAGCTACTCGAGAGGCTGAGGCAATAGGTTACCTTGAGCCCAGGAAGGAGTTTGGGGTTGCTGTGAGCTATGATGACACCACAGCATTCAACCCCAGGGCGATAGGCTAAGACTGTCTAAAAATTTTTTTTCTTTTTAGGTGTGATAAAGGAATAAGTTGAGACATTCAGAATGTTGCTCTACATACTTAGGAGGATAGAACCAAAGAATTTAAGCTCTATACTCCCTACACTATGGATAACTGGAAAAAGTTTGCCCTATTTTACATAACAGTCTGATGTTCATGACAAAAGACAGAAATAAAAATCTGTCATCTTCAAATTCCTTTTGCAACAGAAGCTGTTCGTCTGTCCATCCTAGAAATCTTAGCCCCAGACACTGTGGACAAAGCAGAGAGGATGGGGAGGTGGGAGCTGGGGGTGGGTGGGTGATGAGGAGTCATGTGGTACAGGAGGCGTGGCGGGGGGTGGCTGAGAGGCTATAAACGGTGAAGATTATTTTCTGTGGACAATCTGTCTCTCTACCCTTCATTAAACAAGTGCATTAGGTTAAAAAAATAGTCCTCCAGTTCAAGGAATTTGCCTTCTAGACTTTAACCCCTTATTATTCTAAGAGTTGCCTAGGGACAAGCCACATTGACATCATCTAGGAATTTATTAGAAACATAGATTATCAAACCACACTCCAGAATCATAATTTGCATTTTAACAAGATCCCCAGGTGATTCGTTGGCATATTAAAATTTGAAAAGTTTCTCCAAAATCACTTCACCTGACTAAGCCCCGAAAAGGCTGAGTCTGGGGTCCGGAGTCCAGAACCTAGGAGAACAGGTGGCCCCGGAAGGGGACGGAGTTAGGGAAGGGGCGGGGCCCCAGAACTCCTGATTGCAGCGTCCCAACCACCTCCGCTGTCCACCCATTTTGCTACACATTTAGCTAGGATTTATAGGGCTACCTGTCCTTCTTTTCCGACAGAAGCCACCACTAGGGTTCATGGAACCTGCCCCATTGCGTCCTGGGCCGGGAAGTTCCTTCTGGCTGTCAAGGCTACGGAACCGTGGAGTCAAAAGAACCGCCATGTGCCCAGAAGCTCCTGCGCGCGTTCCACCTCCAGCCCTGTAACTCCGCCCCCACCTGACGCTTAGGGGCGGAGGGAAGTCCTGGTCACGCCCCTTCCGAACCAGCCGGAAGTGACGTCATGCCCTAGCCGGCAGGTCTTTCGGTCTTCTTCCCCCTCCCTTACTCTCGGCCCCCAGTCCCTCCCCTCCCCTCCCCCTCCCCTCCTCCAGCTCCAGCCTTTGCGGCCGCGGGGGCGGCGAAGGCTATGGAGTAAGGCAGCTGCAGCGGCCGACCGCGAAGGCTGAGCTGGACTTGCCGGGCGGCGTTTAGGGGGGCGGAGGAACGAGCTCCAGCACCGCCCCTCCCTGGAAGAGAGGGAAGAGGTGAGTGACCGGCGGTCAGCTCGAGCGACCTCCCTCACCGGCCGCTCTCCTGCGGGGGATCCCGGGGCCGGCGGGGAGGGAATGGGGAAGGAGCCGCGCCGGGGCTAGGCCTGCCGGGGCCGTCCGGGCTGGCGACTGTTGCCTGGTGACGCGCCTGCCGCCCGCGGGCCGGGCGGGGCGGGCGGTGGGGCCGGCGCTGAGCGGACCTGGGCGAGCGGCGAGCTCCGAGGAGCGGATCCGAGAGGCCGGAGTCCCCCGAAGAGGCCTGGAGGCGACGAGAGCCCGGGATCCGAGTCAGCTGCTGGAGGGAGAGCCCCCCGCGCCGGCTCGGAAGCTCCGATTTCCGTGCTAGAGATCTTGGTACCTTTTGGGAAATTGGACACTACCCTAGAACTGGGTGAGATAGCTGCCCTCAGTTCTGGCCTCCGGCTCCGGTAACCTCGGTCACTAATCAGGGCCCTACCTCCCAGCGTCCTTCTCTGACAGTAGCTACAGTTCTGGAATGGAAGGTTATTGTGTGTGAGGTGGGTGGGGCAGGTGTTTGATAAAACTAAAATCCCCAGCGGGGGCTCCTGCAGTCTTGTTTTTCTAAACCCGTAGAGACAGGAAGGTTTCCGATAAAGCTTGCTAAAAGTTCTCGGGATCTGACTGAATACTTACCTGTGATCGGTAATGAAGAAGACCAGTATTGTCGTATTTACCCCTCTGACAGGCTTGGTGAGCTAGCACAGGCTCAAGCTACTTAAAAGTGCTATGCCAGTAGTGCCTTAATTGTAAATTGCCAACTAGTTTTTGGTACATCAGACTGGGGAATTATTTGTGTGACGACAATCTTAAAAGAATTGGATCCTGCGAGTGATTTTTCTACGTAGCATGTCTCCGTTCTGGAAAATAAATAATTTAATGAAAACGCTCCAGACCTGCCTGTCGCTATAAAACCCAATCCTGTTCTGGTGATGGTGAGAATCAGATGCTTCAAGATTCCTTTTGGATTTTGCAGGTCTTTTGTTGTTGTTTGGCTCCCTGTCCTACTCCTTGGCACAAATGTTACTATTTTTAAGTTGAAAAATGACTTATCAGCTGGGGGTATACATTCTGGAGGCAACATTAAACTATAGTCATAAAAGATGCTTTGGGAGAGTGTGTAAAGGGAAGGAACCTGATGGAAGTAAGGGCCTTCAGTCTACGCAGATCTGCTTTACCCACTTGCAGAAACCTGTTCTTTTATGTCTCTGAGAACCAGTAAAGGCACACTTTGCCTCCATACCAAGGAGTGAGTTTTGTACAAATCAATCCTGTTATTGGGATGGATTTGAACTTCATGATACATCCCACCACACCCCCACCCCCAAGAAGAAAAATAGATAGCTCCCTTTATTGCCTTTAACTCCATGGGTAATATCCCCATCCAGCCCTTTCCATAGGAGTTGAAGTTTGACAGTTCTTTTCTCTCCTAGCTCATACTCAGTCAGTCTCTCATAAGGTCCTCCTGAGTATCTCTTAAATGTGTCTGCTCTTCCTTTTCTTTTCTTTTCTTTTTTTTTTTTTTTGAGACAGAGTTCACTATGTTATCCTGGGTAGAGTGCCATGGTGTCACAGCTCACAGCAACCTCAAACTCTTGGGCTTAAGCGTTTCTCTTGCCTTAGCCTCCCAAGTAGCTGGGACTACAAGCGCCCACCACAGCACCCCGCTATCTTTTTGTTGTAGTTGTCATTGTTCTTTAGCAGGCCTGGGCCAGGTTTGAGCCTGTCAGCCCTGGTGTATGTGGCTGGTGCCCTAACCACTGAGTTAGGGCGCCAAGCCTGTCTGCTCTTCATTTTCAACTGTATTCTCTAGTTGTAGCCACTCTAGATGGACTGCGTTAGCTGCCTCTCGATTATAGTCTTCCTTCCTGCATCTACTGTTGTCTGCCTCTGTAGTTTTCTACACCAGACTGAGTAAGTTTTTCAAAATGCAGATTGTTGAAAGACAAAGAGTATTAACTTTGCGTACAGTTAAGATCCTCAGTGGCTTCTCATTGTTTTTAAGATAAACTGAAATTGTTAACATGCCCCACCAGCTGTGCGTGGTGGAGCCTGTTTGCCTTTCTAGCCTGGTCTCCACTCTCTACCCAGTGCTTTCTGGCATTCTCTCTCTCCCCTACTCACCCTGCCCTCCTTTCTGTTTTCCTGCTTCAAGTACCTGGCTTTGGTTATGGTACTTCCTCACCTGGAAATGTTCTTCCTTTCCTTTTCATCCTGTTAAGTTCTATTGGTAATTAAGCGTAGACTTTTCACAGTAGGATTCCTCTGATTATATGTTCTCATGACACCATTGCAGAGTTGCCATATTTATTAATACTTAACAAATTAATGGGATGTTCCTCCTCTCCTGATACTGCATAAGTGTTTAATAAATGTTAAATGAATGAATTCATTTCATGCTTACTAAATGTGCCAGGAGCTGTAGTAAACATTTCACATCATGATCAGCTTTAGATCTTACAACAATCACTTGAGTTCTGGGTGGTTCTTCCCCTTTTTAATAGATTAGAAATAGTGATAGGGTAGCTAGTTGTTCAACATAGCTCTAGTTAAGTATTTAAACTCAAGCTTCCTTACTTGAGTTTAAATACTCAAGATTACTTACTACCGAAGATTATGTGCTTAACCAAATAACTTAATTCTCACACTTTGGTGTGCATCAGAATCACCTAGGATACAAAGTTGCTAATTGAATCTTTGTAGTTTTTTTTTTTTTTTTTTTAAGGCAAGCATGGAACAAAGTTTTTTTGAAGAAGAGAAAGTGTGAGAACAGATATAGGCTTACATAGAAGACATGTTCTCCATAGACAGTGAAGAGGCCTCTATTGCCAGGGCAAGCAGGCCTCTTCATAGATTCTAATTCTAAGAGTTTGAGATAGTAGGTACATAGGTACTTGAGACAGTAGGGAAAACTATCTTAACAAGTTGTCCAGGTTATTTAAATGTTCACCAGAGTTTGGAAATCCTTGTCTTAGATAATGTCTTAGAAATTTCAGTGCTTTATGAATTTTTTTATCTTTTGTACTATACTGTAGTTGAGATTTAAGTCAAGGAAGAACTGTAGCCCTAAAAAGGTGACCTAAGTGGTCATTTAATTCAATTTTCTGCCCAGTGAGTCCTTTCCCCTCTTCTCTAGCTGGAAAGCTTGAGTAATGAGAAGCTGCAGTCCCTCTGTTACTGCTTTTTTTTTTTTAACTTACAATTTCAAGAATCTGATTATCTTGTTAGTAAAAATTATACCACAATAATTACATGGGTCGAAAGTGCTTTCAAAGGACCTGGGTATAACCTTCCCTCAGATCATGTTGTTTAAATTTTACTAATTTGAAATTTAAGTATTAATTATATGTTGCCTTATAATCTCTTACGTTGCTTTTTAAATGTTATTGTACTGTGGTCTTAAATTTGTAACCAGTGACAAAAGTAAATGTTTCACTTTTTTTTTTCTTTTTTTGGAGACAGAGTTTTACTCTGTTGCCTTGGGTAGAGTGCCATGGAGTCATCATAGCTCACAGCAACCTCAGACTCCTTGGCTCAAGTGATCCTCTTGCCTCTTCCTCCCAAGTAGCTGAGACTACCGGTGGACACCAGTATGCCTGGCTAATTTTTCTGTTTCATAGAAACAGGGTCTCACTCTTGCTCAAGCTGGTCTTTAACTCCTGGGCTCAAGTGATCCTCCTGCCTGGGCCTCCCAAAAGGCTAGGAAACAGGTATGAGCCACCTTACCTTTTCCTTTTTGTGTTTTTATTTATTTATTTATTTATTTTTTGGAGACAGAGTCTCAAGCTATTGCCCTGGGTAGAGCGCTGTAGTGTCACAGCTCATAGCAACCTCCAACTCCTGGGCTTAAGCGATTCTCTTTCCTTAGCCTTCCAAGTAGCTGGGACTACAGACACCTCACACAACACCCGGCTATTTTTTTTTTTTTGTCTGTTTTTGCAGTTGTCATTGTTGTTTAGCTGGCCTGGGCAGTTCGAACCCACCAGCCTCAGTGTATGTGGCTGGTGCCCTACCCACTGAGCTATGGCGCCTGTGTTTGTTTTTTAAATCTGGCTTTTTAGGCTGGGTGCAGTGACTCACACCTGACCCCAAGAGTTCAAGACTGCAGTGAGAGCTATTATTGTGCCACTGTTCTCCAGCCTGGCAACAGAGTCAGACCCTGTCTCTTAAACAAACAAACAAAAAAAATCAAGACTGTCTTCTGTAAGGTATCTGTTTTGGCTCAATTGTATCTAATAATTAGATACTTTCTGTTGTTGTAAAGATTATACTCAGTATGATCTTTGTTCTGAATAAGATTAAACATGACTTATGTGTAGGCCAGAGGATAGTATAAACCATTTTTGAAAGCTTTTAAAACTTCTAGTAATCTCTTGAGTGCTCACACAAGAAGAAATATATATTTCAAGAATATATAGCCTAAGCTATCTTTGTTTAGATATGAATAGACAAGTACAACTTACTTGTGAGAGTATGGACACAAGATTTTTTCCCCCAGATTTGTGAAGCGTTAACCGTAAGTATTTCATGTCACGTGAATATAATTCTATGGAATTACAAAAATTCATTTAATAACTATATAAGTGGTTGTGTAAATGGTATTCTTTAATTTTTAGTTATTTACATAACGGTAAAGCCCCTTGTGCCTTTTTATAGGACAAAACAAACTATTTTGAGTCTATTTGTATTTGTTTATATTGTTACGCTTTGTAGTGAATTGTATTATTTGTTTATTTACTCTCTGCTAGGTGCCATGAGAGTGAAATGAAACTTAGTAAATGTTGGTTGTACTGTGATTAGAGCAACCTTTTTACTTGCATTGTGGTATTTTCAACGAAAATGTGAGCAAATTCCGCTTTTTGAGCTTTTATTCTTGGAGAAGGGATTCTGTTTGCAATTGTGTTATTTGAAAATTCAGGTATTTTTTCAGCATAAGTATAATTTTACCTGTTATATTCCTGCCGTATCTTGAGTTCATGAGCAGGCAGAATTGAAAGAACTGCCAGTTCCTTTTAGCTCCTTGCCATTAGGAACTGTAACACCCAACCCACTTTTTGCCAGGTGCAGGTAAAATCTAGTATTACAACAGATTCTGATGCCTGAGCCAGATGGTAGAGACCTACCTACAATCTGGTGATCGTACTGAAGCTACCCCAAGTCTTATTTTGGCTGAGTTTTAGGAGGCACGATGGTTACATGTCAAATGGATTCTATTAAATGGTATATAAGGAGAAAACACCTTAAATGAAAGGCATTTCTGTCATTGATAACTTTGTGTTTGAAAAAAAATGGTTTATTTCTTCATTAATCAAGTGACAATTTGAGAAAGTATTGGTTCCTTACATGTCATAAGTTTAGGTCTTATTTTTTAGG